TGAAGGATGCCATTCCTTGATATCTGCGTCCTCCTTGCCAACCTGAACATGCTTTCAGCTCTAATGAGGAGCTATCACTAACATGTGTTTCCATCTTCTGTGTAAGGCAGGCAGGCGGGCACATGGGAGTATCATTTCCCCACTCGCTACTGACCGTGTGTGTTTTTTTTGGTTTCTCGCCCTTCAGCCAGTCAGTTTCTCTTCTCCATTCTTCTTTGTGTCCCTGCAGCGGCACCTTCTTTCAGATGTTTCAACCCCCGTCATTTATGATGTAAAACCCTCCAGAGTTCTTCCTGTTTAGATGCTGCTGCTCTCTGATTGGTCTCTTCGTCTGCTTGGAATATAGCTGTCTTGCAATAGAGTTGGGGAAATCTTTTGCTCCCACAGTGTACTTAAAAAATGTTATTTCCTTTGGTCTTATGAAGATATTTGGAAACTCTAGGAAATTTCTGTCAAGAAGGAAAAGTGAAATACAGTGCTCCAGCATCCTTAATGAAAAAAAAAGAGAAGTAAAGATACTCCATTTTAAATTGGATGACGTAAAGCCTTTCTGACATGTAACTGTTTAAGAGCCGGTAGTTGCTAGAAAAGCAGTCTAAATTGAGCAGTACAGACAAGTCACTGTGGACAGGGATTCAAAGCCAGACTTTCTGGAACTATGCAACCAAAGTCGGCTATTGTTGATAGTCTTGTGATGTGCTGTCAACACGGTTCTCACTTCTGGTGTCCCAATAAGTGAGCAATATCCAAAATGTGATGTCAACAACTCTGCTCTGCTTATTGCAAGCTCAAACCAGCCGTTCCTTTGGAATCCATCCACCTAATTTTTGGTCTTCCTCTTTTCCAGCTACCTTCAACTTTTCCTAGCATGATTGTCTTTTCCAGAGTATCCTGCCTTCTCATGATGTGCCCAAAGTTGGACAGCCTAAGTTTCCACATTTTTTACTCCAGACATAGTTCAGAATTGGTTTGTCCTAGGACCCGCTTGTTTGGCTTTCTGGCAGTCCATGGTATCTAGAAGGCTCCTGTCCCAAACCATGTTGAAATAAATAATTTCTTTTCCTGTTGGCTTTATCCTCTGTTTAACTTTTAGATCCATACCTCGTGGTCAGGAAAAAGATAGCGTAGATGATCCTGGCCTTGGCCTCCAAAAACCTATTCGTCCACTTGATGTCTTCCGCCGCTGCCCTTCCAGTTTTCAGTCTACTTGTCATTTTTTGACTTCAGTCTCCATTCAGACTGATGATCAAACTGGGGTGTGAAAAATCTCTAACAATTTCATCGGCTTCATTGTCAACAGTAAATTAAGCAATTCGTTTGTAGCTATGATTTTTCTCTGCTTGATTCGGCAACCGCCCCTTGCGCAGTTTGTCTTCTGTGGAGTCTCTCCTGCTCATGGCAGCAAATTGCTATCGATGACCACCTGTCATCAATAGATGGTTTCCCTCATCGTCCTTAGGGGCCACAGCCTTCCCCCATTTCCAAGGGCTGCTATGACGACTAGGGCCTTAGTCTGGGTTCCTCTCTCATGGGAGGGCCAGGTCTCTCTGGCTGTCTCCCCCCATCCTGACCACTGAGACATCATAGTCCACTTTGGTGACAAGGGTGCAATAGATTCAAGCCCTGTGTCAGGCTGTGAACACTTGCTGAGAGGGGCATCTGTGGTCCTGTTCTCTCCACAGGGAGATAAAAGACACTCTTGTCTGACACTTTGCTGATGAAAAACCTTTCCATCTTCTGTCCTAACTGTCATTTCCTTTCCAAGTGGGTGGAGACTGTGACCAACTGGGTGCAACAGCAAGGACCCTTCCGGGATTGACACTTGAGAATGATGGTGTGACATTTACCCACGTGGCCCTTGCTTGTTTCATCCAACACAGAGCTCATGGGAGTATCCCAACATGTCCTTTACCTTGCTGCCACCAGTTGACCTCTGTCAACACCCTTTAATTAGAAAGACCGAGGTCCAAGCTGAGTATAAAGTTGAACAACACAGGTTTATTGATTACAGTTCACTTAAACAGGTTCTTCACAGACTTTAATGTATTCATTTGATTATTAATAACTTGTTTCACTAACTCTTTTAGCTCTCTATAAGTTCCACACTCTTAACTCCTAACTCTGCTACTCTGTCTACCACAGACTAATTTCTACTTCAGACTCTCATCTCTGACTCTCTCTCTCTTCCCTACCTGCTCCCTATCTGACTCCTCCTTCTCCCGCCAAGCCTCAGGTAGCTGCTGACTCTGCCTCTCCAGCCCTCTCATAGATTCATACAAATTAGCTCATGAATATGAGTGCCATGAGTGACGTGGATGATTGCCACAGATGGTGACCGGCATGCTAAAGTCATAGGAAAATAATGAATTTCGTAGAAGTCTTTCAGTCTACATAGGTTCAGGGTGGATTTGGGGACGGAATCACCCTAGGTCACTGTCATAGAAGAACTAGCCTTAACTGGGGAGGGACAGTAAGAGGATAATGCCGTGGCTTCTTCTTGATCTCCTCTTGATTGGAGTATACTGCTATGGAGGCTGAAGTAAAGAGTGACAGAGCTGCAGAGGGTGCAAATAGCACATATAAAGGTAGCTCCCTACAGAACATCCCTGTCTTGGCTATCTCTCAGCAGTGGCCCAGTGGTTAAACTGCAGTACTGCAGTCAAGCCTCCAGCCTTGACCTGAGTTTCATCCTGGCAGGCAGGGATTTTCCTTTTCTGTTCCTCTGTAAAGTCTGTTTCTATCCCCAGTTTCAGGAGAAAGGTGTATCCTTCAAGTCAGAATCAGATTTAACCTAGATTTAATCTCTTCAGCATGTGTAACTTTCATCAGTAGCATCAAAGATGGAGAAGGTGAAACACTTCATAGGCTCAGCAGATACTTGTGGTGGCCCTTTGGACCCTCGCCTTTGAATCCTGACATGCATAAGTAGGTGGGTCAAGGTGTGTCAAGGCTGATTCAACCTTCAACCCTTCCATGTTTTGTAAACGGGGTATGCAGCTCACTTTGGGGGTGGAGTGGTGGGGCAGCTCTTTGTAGCATGAGTAATTAAATTATAATCTGCCCAGATACTGCTATAAGCCAGCGGTCCCCAACCTTTTTAACTCCACGGACTGGTTGGGGAAGGCAGGGGCCCCCCGCGCTCACGTGCAGGCGTGAAGCGCAGGGGGTGCTCGTGGGAAACCTGCACACACTCTCAAAGGGTGGGGCCACTCACGTGCATGCACAAAGGGGCTGTGTGTGTGGGAGTGTGTACGGGGTGGGGAGGAGATCTGTCTCCGTGGCCCGGTCCAACTCAGGTCATGGACCAACCTGAGACGCGAACTGGGGGTTGGGGCCCCTGCTTTAAGCAACATATAAGCAGCAGACATGTGTTTTTCTTTGTTTTTGTTGCAATTTGTATGCTTCATTTCAGTCTCCAGCAGGTGGTAAGAGCTCTGGTTTATAGAGCTGTAAGGTTTGGTGTAACTCAAAGCTGTTGTACTCGGATAGGATGTTCATTGGAGTCACCTCGTTGTTCTGCTGTGTTTTTCCCCACTCTGTCCCTTTGAGTCTGCTCCCTACCCCAGTGTGGACCCCAGGACTCTTTGTAAAGGAGAATAAAGATCCTGGGTTGAAAAGAAATCCCCAGCCTTAGAGGCTATGGGCTTTCCAGCAAGTTGATATCGCCTGGAGAGAGCCATTGAGCCGATCATTCTCAGTAAAATTGACGTGAGAAATTGGTTCCTGGAAATCCAGGCTAGCACAGCATGTGGGGAACGCTTCCCAAGGTTGGGAACCACTGCTTTACATGGTTCCTGTGCAGCTTTTGCAGAAGCAGAGAACCTGTATGTATGACGGCACAGACAGCTGCTGGAAGAATGTGTGGTAGTATGAATCAAGGTACAGTAAACTGAAAAGCATAAAGCTAAAAGGGGGAGGGACCACAGATAGACCAGAAGACAGTATCAGGATTCCAGATGATCCGGATAATTTGGAGAACCAGCCAAACCAAAAGTAATTTCAATAAGGACCAATTAATGTTTTATATTTAGGCAGGAAAAATCAGATGCAGAAAAATACAGTACAAGGGCGGACAGCTGGTTTGGCCATACATAGTATGCGTGAAAGGGGTCTAGACATCTTCATAGGCTGCAAGCTAACCACCACTCAACAGCTTAATTCAGTCCCAAAAGTCTGAAATGGAATTCTAGGCTGGAGCAAAGGGAGCAAAGAGTCCACATCAAAGGTAGGAATACAACCACTAGTCCTTTGGTCAAACTGCAGCTAAGGTACTGTGTCAGAAGAGTTTTGTGATCCTAAGACAGTTTGACAGTGGAAAAGAGAGCCACACAGGGTGTGGACTACTTCTTCTCTGGAGGTTTTCCCTGAGGTTGACAGGGGACATGGTGCTTTCACCATTATTATCCACAGGGAGACTTCCAGACTTTCAGGAAACAGAAATGGGAATCTCTTTAGAACTGAACTGAAGCACAGCGCCTATTCTAAGCTCTGAACCAAAGTGACCCCTTCTCCAAAGACTTAATGTTTCCAGATCTTTTTTTTAATGCTTGTCATCCCTACATGCAATTAAAACAGACAAAGCATATCCCCCACTCCAGCTTTATAGCCATCTAAATGCAAATTGAATTCTCAAGGAAGGTGGTTTTGAATGCTGATGTCAGAGACTTCTACAAGATCTGAGTCGTATAGACTCGCAAGCTGGTAGTGAGGTCTGTAGCTTGACTGGCAGGGCTCATTCACTGGCTTTGATGCAATATCATTCTGTCCCTGTTCAGCCAACTTGTCAGCTCATCCACTTCTTCTGAGGCTTTTTCCTACAGATTATTCTTCTCCGTTCAGTGCATGGCTCATCCATCCAACACTTTCTTTTATTCTTGCAGTACTTTTGATGAGTAAGACAGATGGGTCTTCCTGCTGGAGGAATTCCTGACACAGTTGGTTTACCATCCATCCAGTATCTGAAGAGAAGACCAGCACTCGTCAATTCGGACAGAATGCCATTCTAAATCCATATTGTGCCTATACCCTTTTTGTAGGTCTCCCCTCCCAAACCTTTGGCGCTCTCTTTTTTATGACTGTTATTCAAGTGATGCAACACTTCCACCTCTCCATTGTCCAAAGGCACGCAAGGCTGGAGGCAAAGTGCAGAATGGAACCCCCAACCTCTCACTTCACAGCCAGATACTGTACCTAAATCACTGAGTTATCCAGCCTGCTGGGACTCCGCTGATTTTGGCAAGTGCTATTACCCTTCCCTCTGCACATTTTTAGAGCCTTGAAAATGGTCCTCTCTCCTTCTCCCCCTGAAGTCAGTAAGCAAGTCCGTTAAGGCCTCCCTGATCAATCACTGTACACGCCTCATATATCTTAGCCATTGTCTGCAAGTAGCCTTGCATTGGTCACAAACAGTCATATATCATGTCCCATATATCGGGAGGAAGGCTTTGAAGGTCTAGGGACAGTCCTCCATAGGTGGATGGTTGCATCTTTCACAAGCTCCTCCTCCTGGCTGACTGGGAGCACAGCTATACGACCACACACAGGTAGGGCATGGGTAACACACCTGGCAGGACCCTTCAACAGAAGTTTGTTCTCCTAACAAAGCAGGAAATCCACCCCAAATGCATGCCTGACAGTTGACCATCCAGGCTGTGTTTAAAAGCCCGTCATGAAGGAATGTTCACCATCTTTTGAGGCTTTCTGTTTCATTGCCAAATAGCTTTTACTATCAGGAAGTTTTTCCTAATATTTAGTCAAAATCAGCACGTGGCAAAGAAGTGAGTGCAGCTCTTAATGAATTATGAAGGATGATTCCTGGCTGCCTGAAACCTTTCCCCAAAACCTCTTCCCCCAAAAAACCTTTATTATTTGGCTGGCATTGCACATCCAGAGGTATATCAAGAGGTGCTAGCTATTAATGCATGAAATGAGGTAACACAGCACCGACCACCACTTCATCGACACCAACCTCCCAATGACAGCTAAAATCAAGGGAACATTTTCTGCACACCTCTCAAACTCTAAACATTAACCCAGAAGAGACTAGACGAAAGCTACAGAGAGCAATAGCAACACACCATGCTGGATGGGTGAACGCTGAAGAGAAATTCAATAAATGCAGTATTTCTATGTATGCAATTTAAGCCCCATGATGTGTACAAAAGGTCTTGTAAATGGCCATGATAATGCTTTTGAAATAGCCTGCTTCTGATCAAAAATTGTCTAATAATTTCATGATTTGATTTATATTTTTTAAACTTCATATTTATATTTTTATATACAGTAAGTCTGTAATTTGAAACTGTGCAGTGCTCTGACACTAATCAAGGAAGAAGCCAAATCTTTCATTCTTGGTATCTGAATCCATTGGTTAGTTTCATTTCCCCTAGAACACCATGTCGAGGGACATGGTGGCACTGTGGGTTAAGCCTCAGAAACCTCTGTGCTGCAAGG